TTCCGTACTAAATGATAGGCCTAGTCACACAGCCCGTACAAATTTGGGTGGGGCCAGCGTGAACCTGGCCCCACCCAACTTCGGATTGACTTTTAAGATAGTAAATATTCCGTACTAATTCTAATTTTAGTATGGTTCGCACATACTAATTGCGTACTAAATCGTGGTACTATCGGCGGAATTAGTACGGCAATGGGTGGGGCCAACTTCACGGAGGTGGGACGGTAGGGAGAATGCAACTCGCAACCCGCCCGCATGCCTGCATCCGGTACAGTGTAAGCAAAATAAAGGGAGGAGTCTGTGGACCACCCTGTATAGAGATTGAGGAGGGGGAGGGGCGGACTTTGGCCTCTGGTAGAGACAGTCTTATGGGGACTGTCTAAAATGATGCGGTATCGAATCGACATCACAGAATTTCGGTAATTTGCCAATTCCAGGATCGATTCAACGGGAAAATCATCGGTTTTCTGTTATCGATTTGACATTGCCATTTCTCACTGGGACTCACGTAGGTGTTACCCCAGCCGCTGACGGTGAGGAAGGAACCCGCTGGCTCCGCATCGCCGGCCGCGGGCAACGCGACGATCGCCTGCGTCTCACCGAGCTGGAACTCGCCGTCGATCTCTAGCACGGCGACATCGAAGTCGACGGTGCTGGCCTCGTACTTGGGGTTGTTGGTGACTCTCTTGAGGTTGTACAGGACGCCGCCCTCGTCGTGGTTGGTGGAGCCGGCGCGCACTGCGCCGTTCTTGGGGGTGATGCTGGAGCATGTTACAAGTGGGTTAAATTCTAATTCCTGATGGATTTGACTGGTCTGTTATCGGCTGCCATGTCTCCTCGAGAGGGCCGCACCCGCGATAAGATTGTGATGCTGCGATTTATGCCCCTGCTAATCGGAGTAATTGGGCACTACTTCAGAAAGGACAATTATCGTCCTAATTGCACTGATAAACTAAGTGTTCAACTGCTCAACACTTGTAAGTGTGCAACTGCTCAACACTTGTAAGTGTGCAACTGCTCAACACTTGTAAGTGTGCAACTGCAAGTTGAATACTTGCAAGTGTGCAACTCCGTAGTCGTACACTTGCAAATGTTAAACTCGGTAGGTGTGCACTTGCAAGTGTTGAACACTTCCTTAGATTAGACGCTTACTGTGTAGCAAGTGCTCAACCGAGGAGTTGCACACTTGCAAGTGCACACCTACTGAGTTGTACACTTGCAAGTATTCAACTTGCAGTTGCACACTTAGAAGTGTTGAGCAGTTATCACTTACTTTATCAGTGTGAACAGGTGCTACCTTACTCGAAAAATTGGGCTGAATGCTGAAGGCGTTAGCTTTCTCGAAAATTTAAGAGAGTTTCAGTCGGTTACCGTGCGGCACGGTCACTCATCATTCAGACGACAAAATTATTTTCTTGAGCCAGCCATGTGTTTGGGCCCAGGACGCACATGTCACTGGGCCAAGAACGGCACCGTCTCACGATTTGCAGTCAGAATGCTTTTGAGGCCGATCCAAAGAGCAAATTTCTGTGTTCAGGGTGTTCCAGCTATGTCCCTAGCACCACCGTGTGCACCGTGCGCCCTTCCGTTCCTCACCCCGCAGCCGCGCAGTGACCCGCCGTCAGGACGAACGTCTTGCTGATGATGGACGCGCCGCAGATGTGCGAGGTGTAGAGTTGTAGGCTGAGCTGCAATTAAAGCGCGGGAGGGGAGGGGTGAGTAAAGTGGTCGCCGAGCGACGCCTCGGTCACGCGTCGGTCACGCGTCGTTGGCGGCGCCTACCTGGTAGGGCGCCTCCTTGATGTCGATGTCGTTGCCCCCGACGATCATGGGGTTGAAGCCGGCCCAGTGGCGCCGCACCTTCGCGGGGTAGATGGAGCGGGTCGCTGCAATAAGGACATTAAGGGGCTGGAGCACGCGTGGGAGTCGAGTCCACCGGGGTAAGGCAGCATTAGTGCAGCGAGGGTCTTACCGGAGGCCAGCGCGAGGCCGGCGAGCAGGAGCACCGCCACGGAGCGTAGGACCGACATGACCGACCAGGGAGGAGTCCTCGAGAGCTCTGGCTATCTGGCTGCATCAACTTAAGCGAGTGCTGTCGGACGGCAGACAGCAGATAGTAAGTCCCGATTGTTCCCGATTTGTATGCAAATTTGTAGTTTTTAAGTTCAGAAAAAATATTTGAATGACAAAGTTAAGATTTTATAACAAAAATTGGACGCAGGATTGTGAAATTATCGGTGTTTACTATCTGCTGTCTGCTTTAGCCCTGTCTGCCTCTGATTGCTCTGATGCGCGCCCACTCCTATCGTCCTTGGTTACGCGCCGGCGTGAGCGTGCTCGTCCACTCGAATTTTGTCTCCTCCCGCTCACGCACGCAGTATAAGCAAGTCCACATAGTTTCCTAAGGCTACTCTAGCGATAGCGCCTGCGACGCGCTGGGTAGGCTAACCCGCCCAGCAGCCGCGTGGAGCCGGCGGCCCGCCCAGCGCCTTGCTGTGTTACGATGGTTGCCTATGCAAGATCTTGCAGGCGCCCAGCTGGACCGATACCAGCCATGTTGCCGACAGTGTTAACACAGGATACTTTCTAACACGCCAGCGACGGTTGCGTCGACTTTGAGTATGAATACCTAAGAGTAGCTGTCTGATGTGCAGGTTATAATCAACATGCAGCACGGGACTGAATATCAAGAAGTTGCCCGATAAGAGGAACAAGAAGAAGGTAGCACTGAAGAGGTGGCCTGGCGTAGCGCCGTCACTAAACAAAGCAGAAGATGAGCGACAGTCTAGCAGAGGTTAGGATGCGTTTCGTTAGATTTCAAACAGTTTAGAACGGGCCTATGCATCTAGCACCTTGGTACCACCTATACCAAAGTTTATAACGAGAGTTGAGTCATTATCATCATTATCATTGAATTAAAATAGTACCAATGCAATACGTCCGTACACTAACCTAAACAACGACACCGGGACGGTTTAGAGGATTGAATAAACTTACTTTTCCG